TCTCCCTTCCCTTTGGTCGGCTCTCTTGTCTAGGACCTGTCTCTTATACACATCTAGATGTGTATAAGAGACAGATATTGGGAAGGGTGCATCCAATGAGTGTGCAGATATAAATTGGTTATGGTTTGGCAAGTGCTCTGATCTTAATACAACATGGTTTGTTAGCCGTCTCATAGCTTACGAGGATCCAGATCTTATTGTCTTCTCGGGGGACAACATTGACTGGTCGTCTTCAGACGCCATTGCTTCTATGAAACTCGGTTTCGGACCAGCTATCGAGTCTGGCAAACCCTGGGCAGCAATTTTGGGGAACCATGACGAGGAGGCAGATCTCGACCGGCTTGGTCTAATGTCGTACATTGCCGGGATGCCATTCTCTTACTCTAAGCTAAATCCTTCCTGTGTGGTTGCTGAAGATTGTGACCCTGTGAAGGGGCAGTTCATCGTGAACGGAAGGAACGTAAGTCGGGACTTTCGCTCATGCGTCTCGAACATCGAACCAAGTGCAAATGCCACCAAGGATGATGGCGATGGCGACAATGACTCGATTCTCTTTCAGTGTAATGTTGATGATGCGACAATCATCATGGGAGGGGTTAATGGGCTGCCCATTGTAGAGGGATGGGGCAATTACCACCTGGAAATCAAGGGTCCTGAGGGGTCAGCCATTGAAAATGACACTGCATTGGTTTTGTACCTCCTAGATACAGGAGATAAGTCGAAGCTGGACAACAGAGTGGACGGATATGACCTGTCTCTTATACACATCTAGATGTGTATAAGAGACAGGACTATGTGTGGGCAGCCGGGCAGGCACGTGTTTGGCCTCCGAACTTTTTTGTCTTTTCCCGCTTCGTCTTTTCCGCGAAAAGAAAAGCAACTGCCAAACAAAAAAAAAAAAGAAACCAAAAGAAAAGCGAGTGAAAAACGAAATAAAAAGAAATGAAAAGTCTTTTCCGCGAAAAGAAAAGCAACTGACAAACGAAAAAAAAAAAGAAACCAAAAGAAAAGCGAGTGAAAAACGAAATAAAAAGAAAAGAAAAAAGGAAAACGACGCGTTCTTGCTATCCGACGGCGGGCACTTCGAGAT